CCTCCTCCTCCTCCTCCTCCTCCCACACAGGTCGTGCTCAAGGCAATCACCGTGTTTCATCGGCTCTTCCGCGAAGGTGACGACCTCGCCATCGACAAGGTCGCACCGCATCCAGAGGTCTTCTCAGTCCTCGGCTCGTTCATCGATCGGTCGGACGTGCGGGCCATGGGCCAGTCGACCTTTGTACAGAACTACGCAAACTACCTGGTGGAAAAGCTGGCGGCATACTCGGCGCTCAAGTGCCAGTTGGAGAAGCCGCCGCTTCCGGGAGATCGCCAGACTGGGACTTCCATCATCAAGGGCATGAAGGTCCGCAGGCTGCTCAAGGTCGTGCCGCGGCTCCAGCGCCAGCTCAACATGCTCTTCACCTGTGACCCAGACGCGCGCATGCTCGACAACGGCGCCACCGTCTTTGCTTTTACCCTCCTCATCAAGGACGCCTTCAAGCTCTTCCACCTCGTCAACGATGCCATCCTCATCATCATCGACGCCTTTTTTGACATGAAGCAAGACGACGCCCTCCGCTCCATCACCCTCTACCAAGAGTACGTGCTCGAGTCGGACCTCATTCGTGACCTCATGCGCAAGGCAAACAAGATTCCGGGCCTCGACCTCAACATGCCGTCGCTCAAGCCGGCGTCGACAGGCCTTCTCTCCGCCCTCGAGGAGTATGTCAACGCAGGCAACTTTGACCACGCTGAGGCCGAGGTCCGTGACGTCTCGGAGCTCCTCGCAGACTCGATGCCGCACGACCTGGTCGTTGGCGGCTCGTCGGCGCCTGCCCCGCAGTCGGCCGCGCCCAAGTCGGCGCCGCTCATCTCGCTCGGCAACGACGAGTCGGCGGCCCACCTCGACCCGCTTGGCACGCCCGGCAAGACCGCCGCCGCCGCCGCACCGTCCGCGGCGGCCGCTACCGCTTTTGATCCCTTCGGCTCAGTCCCGTTCGAGAAGCTCCTCGCCCAGCAGCACTCGTCCGGCGCGTCGACCCCGACCCCGACCCCGACTTCTGCTCCCGCCACAGGCGCCCCGCTCCTCGACATGGGTGGGCAGGCGTACGCGCGAAAGCAGAGCCAGATCAATGAGCTCCTGCAGCAGACGTCCAAGCCTGCTCCGGCGCCGGGCGTCTTTGGCGGCGCGCCTCCGATCTGGGCCGCTCCGGCTGGGCAACTGGCTGCTGGGCCACCCCCGGCCGCCGCCGCGGCCCCGGCCCTTGCCGCCCCGCTAGTCCCGGTCACCTCTTCGTCCAAGCCAACCGGTCCGCTCGACAAGCAGGGCACCGCCAAGCAGTCGTCCAACAACCCGTTCGACTTTGGCGACCTCCTCGAGGCCTTCCCGCAGTAATCTCGTAACTAAACGCACGGAACGCTGGACACCATTGTCGGATGCCGCAGTGAACTCGACGCAATGTAGAAAGCTCACTCTCAGCTGCGCGATGCGGCGCGCGCTGCGCTTGTGGGCCACGACGCCGACCAGAATGCAGACGAGCACAGACGAGGTTGATGCGCTTGAGACGGCGACGGGGCTTGCGGCTTGGGGCCACAGCCTCCACGACGTCGGGCGGCCGCAGTAGTACCCCTCTTTGCTTCGAATGGTTTTATCTGGCACGCCTGATCTGCACTCAGCTCACGCATCGGCCTCGAGTGCAGCCACCCGCCGCAGCAGCGCCGCCACCGTCGCCTCGAGCGACGCTACCTGCGACTTGAGCGCCGCGACTTCAGCTTGCGACGCTGGCAGTTCGCGCTCGGCCCCAGCCGCCCTTGATGCAGACACTGCTCGTGGCTTGGGCGGACGCCCGCCCGGACGCGGCGCGCCACCGCCTGGCCGCGGCTTGGTTGCCGGCTTGGGCTTGGCTGAAGGCTTGGGCTTGGCCGCCGGCGCTGGCCGCGGTGCCATCGGCTTGGGCGGCATCGCCGTGCCAGCCTGGGGTTCGGGCTTGGGCGGCGGCGGCTTGGCTACAATGCCTGGTGATGCCGGGCGCGGCGGCGGGCGCGGGCGCGGGCGCGGGCTCGGGCGCGGGCCCCCGCTCGGCTCTGGCGACGTCGCCCGCGAGTTGGGCGCAGACTTGTCCGAACTCGAGCCCGAGCTAGGCGCGGCGACGGCTGCTGCTGCTGCAGCTGCTGCAGCAGCCACGCCGACAGCAGCTGCGTTGCTGGCTGCGGCCGCTGAAACAGCCGCCACCTCCTCAGCAGGCTCCTCGGTCTTGGGCGCGGAATCGGCGTCGCTCCCGCTGTCGCCACTCGACTTGCTCTGCTTGGCGAGTACTTCCGAGGCGTAGTCAAACTCGTGGACGATTTCGATGTGGGTCTCGGGCACAAAGCCAGTCTTGGACTCGAACATGACCTCGCGCCATCCCGGAGCGCCACAGTCGTACTTTGTGACCAGAAAGTAACGGCCGGAGCTGGCCGAGACCGAGACCTCGGTCTCGGACCTCGCCTCAAAGTCATAGATGGCCTTGCCGATGGCGAGCGCCGGGCGCTTGGAGCGCTTGAAAATGCGGTCGGCGAGCGGAATGAGTGCCGCCGTCGCCTCGGTCACCGCCTGCGAGTGCGCAAGCGCCTCCATCGGCGACTCATCTTCCCCGCGGACCAGGTTCGGCGCAAAGACAATGGCCACGTTGGACGCAGACATCTTGGACTGGCTCTCAAACGAGGTCACCCGCTTCATAAAGGGGAAGAGCGCCCGCAGAAGGCATTGCGAGTACGCCGGCACGTCGCGGATGAGCGCCCGCGCAAACTCGACAATAAACTTGGTGTCGTACGCATCGGCCAGTGACCGGTAGAACGGATACAGCTCGTACGGGACCGGCGGTTCCGGGAGCTCGCGCACGTAAAGTTTGAGCAGGCCGGCCACCGTGTCGGCGTCGTTGACTGGAAGGACAACGGCCTCGCCGGTGTCATATCCCTGCTTGAACCGCTTGATGTCCACCGCCGAGCCCGAGAGTCGCAGGAAGCCCTCGGTGGCAATCTGCGCATCGGTAAAGGTCTTGAGGCAGTCTTCGACCACGGCAGGCAGCGAGCCATCCGATGACGGCCTCCGCGCCACCGCATCCTCCAGCGCCACCCCAAAGATCTTCTCCCTCGCCGCAGGCAGCAAGCTCGAGAGCTGCTCCAGCCACGCGTCGCGGAGCCGCATGTTCTCCGCCACGAAAAAGTACACCCGCCCCGTCGCCCGCACCTCAAACGCGCCAATCGGCGCGCTCGGCCGGTCGGTGATGCACACAGCTTGCACGTCGTCGATAAGCACCTCGCCCGCAGGCTCCTCGTCATCCTGCGCCTTGTAGTACGACAGCGCATCGGCCGAGAGCGTGCACCACCGCCGCTTGAGCGACTTGTTCGATCCCCCCTCCTTCTCCAGCCATCCAGATTGCACAATCTGGAACTGCTGTGCCCACTTTTCCTGCGTGCCCTCGGGCATGAGCTTGAGCAGGGCGGCCACCCACGAGGCCCGTTGCAACTCCCGCTCGGCCTGGATGGTAAAGATGCGCTCAGGCGTCCTGATCTTGAACACATACGAGTCATCGCCGTCATGGTCCTTGTCGGTCAAAATGTTCTTGATGTCATTGATCAGAATATGCCCGGCCTGCTTGGTGGCATTCTCCGTCTTAAAGTAGTACAGCGCATCGCGCGTGAGCTGAAAGAATCGCTTCTGAAACTTGGTCGACGAGCCGCCTGTCTTGGCCAGCCATCCCGACTTGATCACCAGCCGCTATCATGCCCCAGCCATAGTCATCCACCCCGTCCACCAGCCTCCTGTGTGTGAGTCGGGTCGGTATGCCCCTACTGTGCCCCCTGCTCCCCCCCCCCCCCCTCTCTCTCCCGCCGCTCCCTTCCTGTGCCTGCCCCCGCCACAAACCGACTGAGCCACCCCCGCACCACCACCCACAATGGGGGCCACATCCACATACCGAGTCCATGCTGCAATCAACCACCAGCAATACACTCTGTCTGGGTAGACCACAAAGGTGTTCCACAGACCAAGCTGGGACAAGTGGTACACCCCACACTCCCTCCTCCCCCTCCCCTTCGCAAGTGCAAACCCCTCCCTCCCCTCCCCCTCACAACGAGCAACTCGCTCTTTGGCCGAAATGGTGCGTGTTGGCCGTTCCGGCGAATCGGCCGACAAACGCCTTTTCACCGCCTCGGCACGTGCAGGCAACGAGGGGATGGTGGGCAGAGGCCTGTCGAGCTGGGAAGCACCATCAGGTGGTGAGCGATGAGAGTAGAAGGTACAGTGCGGAGATAGAGGGAGGGGAAGGGAGGAGAGGACATGTGGGTGGCCGGGCGGGAAAAAACAACGGACGCGGGAGGAGAGGACTCGGGCATGGGAGAGCTCGATTGAGGAAGCGTGACCAACGATGGCGGACAGGGTTCAACGTGCGCGGCAAGAGGCAACTACGCGAGGAGGTCGACCGATTCTGATGAATCATCGGAGCGGGCAAGAGCCGGAGAGTTGGGCCCGACGCCTGCGGCGATGAGCTCGACTTCGGAGCCCGACGAAGATGCAGCGCCGGCGGCAAAGGCAAAGTCGGCGCCGGCGCCAGACATCTGGTTGAGACGGACAAAACCGCCGGCAGACCGTTTGTACTCGCGATAGCGGTCGTATAGGTAGAGGAGGCCGCATGTGCCCCAGATGAGGCCGTAGGGGATAGAAACCCAGACGTACCACATGCGGGCGCCGTTATCGTCCGACTGGAGTGAGACAATGGCAAAGAGAGCGCAAAAAACGGCAAGAACGACAAAGATGACGGCCTTCTGGATCTTGTCAGCAAGGGTGGTGCGCGACACGGGCGCCTCAACAATGTCCGACGGCGGTGACGAGCCGAGCGAGCGGGCGCGCCACTGGGCGACGAGCTCCCACACCTCCTCGGCGCGGAGGATGTCATTGAAGCCGAGGTGGATGTCGTCGCGGTCTTCAGCCGAAGAGGTGCGGGCACGGACACCCACCTCATCATACGCCGTCGAGTGCATCTCCTCAGTCGAGAACCAGACCGAGCCGACGCCGCGGCCGCGGCGACGGAGCAGGATCTCGTGCATCTGGTGCGGGAGGAAGAACTTGATGCTGTGTCCAAAGGCCGAAGCATACTTGGGGCTAACAATTACCGCTTGCTCGCCAGTCAGAATGTACAGGTTCGTCTTGGCCGCCGCCTTCAGCACGAGGAGGATGACGGTGGCGCTAGCAAAGCCGAGGGTGGTCACCCAAGCCGACGAGCCCATGCGCTCCTGATAGAAGATGGCGTAGAGGACGGCACCCGAGAGGAGGGCAAGCAGGAGGAGGAACGACTTGTGCCTGCCGAGCTTGCGCTGGTAGTCTGCATACAACACAGTCTCGTCGGCAAACTGGGCAACGAGCAGCTTGTCCTTGGCCCGCAGATGCGAGTAGTCGTCGAGATCGGACCAGGCGTTGTACGGGATACGATCCCAGCGCATTTCCGCCAGGTGCTGGCCAATGGCCACCACAGTCAGCGCAAAGTAGATGCCGAGGACCGGGAGGAGAACCTCCTCGGGCCGTGCCGGGCACGAGTCGCCCATTCTTGTGATTCTGTCGTCGTTCTTGGGGCACCCGCCGAGGCCCCATGCCATGCAGCTGCCATGCGAGTACGTCCCGCACCACTGGCACCCGTTGACTTCGATACAAGGTTCGCAGGTCTTGACATTGCAGCTGAGCAGGGGGGGGAGGGGAGGGGGAGGGGGGTGAGGGGAGTGAGGGGGGGGGTGAGGGGGGTGAGAGGGGGGAAGGAAGGGAGGGAGGGGCGTACTCCGCCTGGGCCTGGGCTCCGCTGACGAGGACGGCAGTGGCGACCACCAGCCAGATCACGGCCTTCATAGGGAAGGGTGGGTGCAAGGTGGGGTGGGGGCGGGAGCTATTTAGAGGCGGTTAAG